AGCGAAACAAAAACAATGGGCATAAATAAGTTCTGTAGTATGTATCAGGTGGTAAGTTACAGAAGAAGAAAGCAGTTTAAGGGGGGATTGACTGGCAGTGGGGTGAGACATGTCGGGTAAGGCAATATAAAAATAGGTTGGCTACTGAGAAGATAATAGTTAGCTGACAGGAAGAAGGAGGGGCAGTTAGCATGTGAATACCTGAGGTGAGAGTAGTTTAGCAGATAGCAGCCAGTACAAAAGTCCTGAGGCAGCACCACCTGTGCTTGCTGGGTTCAAAGAACAGCAAGAAGGCCGGTGAGTCTGCAGTGGAGTGAAAGGAGAGAGAGTGTAGAATCTCAGCTTAAAGACAAACTCAGATTCTGATTGTTTACAAGACTTCACCAACGTCTAGTTAAGGTAGAACTCAAAACCCTTTATAGTGACTGTAGATTCTTTCTGTCCTCCAGTTATTTCAATGGAAATTCTCTTATATTTCCAGAAGGAGTGGATTAAAAAAGGAAATGATGACTGATTAACAACCTTTATTATAATTTACGTTTCATTCTTCAGCATTTTACCATTTCCATTTACCATTGCCTTCTGCTGCACGGGGTGTGGGTGATTGGTGTTGCAATCACCAAACACCTATGAAATGGAGGAGGGGCCCCTGAGGGTGTTCTTCAACATAGTCTTCATTACGTTAATCTCAGCTAGCCTGAGTTTATTTTCACACACAGTTTTTGCTAAAGGAGAAAATACAGCCTTGGCACAGTGTGATTTTATTCTTTACTATGTTTTAAGTTATTAATTAAATTTAAACCTAACGTTTGATTTTGCTTTCAGGGATAACATGCTAATCATGTGACTTGATACTAATTCAGAAGACCTTAGTTTATAATTTCATTGTACTTTTTTTCTAATCTTTCTTTTAAAGATATGGGCATACTGCGGGAGAAGCTACACATGATGCAGTAGATTCTGCCATAAATGTTGGTGTAACTGCCTATAATATCGACAACATTGGTATCAAAGCAATGGTGAAGAAAACAGCAAAACAAACAGGACACACACTTCTTGAAGACTATAAAATAATTGATAGTTCTAAGGGGAAAAATCAAGAAGGAGGAGCAAATGTAAATATGAAAGGGGAGAAGGATGAGCAGGCAGAGGAACTCGAGAAGAATGAGGCAAAGAAGAAAGATAAATGATGGAAGTGCTGTAAATCGCCTATACCAAAGCCTTAGAAGATGGATGCCATTTTGCTAAATAGGGAAATGCAGAATTTCCAACAGATTAACCAGTATTTTAAAAATGTATTCATTCCTACAAAGTGACTGTTTCATAAGCTTTATGGCATATATTCTACTTACAAGGAAAAGAATCAGTATTCTTGCATCTGATCTTTAGAAATAGTTATATTCTCCATAAGTTTATTTTTTTCTAAATGTGGCTAAAATATTTTTGCAGTTAAAATAAAACTAATAATACATGTGCTATAAACCTCATTAAACCTTATGTTAAACTATTTTTGTATTTGCTGTCTTTCGGAAAGCAAAGTAGGAAATTATTGTATATGTACATAAAATTTGGCATTTAGTAACCTTAGTTCTACTTTTTTTCTGGGACAGAATGACTTAAAATACTGTCTTCTTTTTGCACGAATTGTGGATTTTTTTTAGGTGCTTGTGAGAATTTTCAGTGTGTAAGCTAAACAAAAACTGTAATCCTAATCTGCAAGAATTCTCAGATAACATTTAAAAGACTTTTTCAAAACGGGAATAGACTAATCATGAAAAATTAAACGAGGTTCTATAAAATTATTTGGTAGCTTATTACCTCTTTGTTAGGAAATGGGATGGTGTTATTGATTTTAAATGAATACAAATAGATTTTTAAGTCTTCTGGATTTAGACTGGTATTGATCCATTAGGAGCCTAGGAAATTTGGGAATATGACTGGTATTAAAATCTGAAGTGATTATTATCAGCTTTGTTAGACAAAAAACTAGTTTAAGAAATCATTTTACCACATGTGCTTCTGTAAGTTTTTCCAAAAGGATAAAATTTTGTAAAAACTAAAGTATAAACAGAATTGAGCTTATGGGTGGTAAATATATTTTTCTTTTGAGATTCAGTCATTGGAATTTTATGTATTAAAAAGCTAATAAATTATTAGAAAGAAAATGTTCTATTCATAATCAAGGTAAAGAATGTGAAGACTTTAGGCTTAATCCATGGTGGGTGGGCATAACAGTTTCTGCTTTGGCAGAAGGCAGAACATTCACAGACTTACGAACTACAAATATGTAAGTAAATACCAGTGGCATTTTATTTTTGTTTACTGGTTTTAAAAGATTGGTTTTCATAGCTGTTGTCTGTTCTGATATTTCTGAACTTCTAATGTTACTGCACAAAGGGCACGATCTTCTCGCCCTGAGACAAAGGCCAATCGTTAAGAGGCAAGATGGTGGAAAAGAAAGGTCAGTTTATTACAGCTTGCTAGCAAGGGGGAAGATGGCCGACTAAAGTCTCAAAGAACCATCTTCCAGAACAAAGACTACAGGCCAGTTATATAGAGGGCTGGTCTCCAAGTGGGGGAGGCATCTGGTCCCAGGGTGGGGCATCCATCTGATTACTGGGTGGAGGCATGTCGTCTCAGCGTAGGGGCATGCATGTGGTCTTAAAGTTCCTGATAGTCTTTTGTTGTACTTGATACGCATCAGAGACTGGAGCAACGCCCTATACCCTGATCTTTCAGTTGTCATTGATGATGGCTATCAGCATAGACTTTCTGCCCAGAGGTCATCACATTCCTAAGGAACTCAAGAACAAAGTTATCAATTTATAGCAGCTGAGAGGGGCCATAAAGTCCCAAGTTAGTCAGAGGTTATTCCAAGTCACAATATGGTTTCCTCTCTACAATATGGCTTCCCTTATGTCAACCCTGTATTGAACTGTTATCACTAATGGCTACTTAGTTTATTAGACTTTATTTGAAACTGTCTAAAGAGTGTACTTTGTGGATAAACTGTGTCTGAATTACTTGGCCTCACATGTGTTCACAGGCTTGTATTTTGGGAACACAGAATTGGTGGAGCCTTCCCCTAAGACCAAGGATAATGTACTAGTTGTTAAAAGGAAATAAAATTGAATTGGTAAAGAGCTTCCAGTCAGTCTCTGCCTTATTTAGGTTTAAGAAATGGAATGACAGATAGTGGAACCTAAAGTTTAAAAAGTTACTTCAGGGGCCGGCCTGGTGGCAGAGCAGTTAAGTGCATGCGCTCCGCTGCGGTGGCCTGGGGTTCCCAGCTTCGGATCCCGGGTGCGCACCAATGCACCGCTTGTCAAGCCATGCTGTGTCGGCGTCCCATATAGAGTAGAGGAAGATGGGCACAAATGTTAGCCCGGGGCCAATCTTTCTCAGCAAAAAGGAGGATTGGCATCAGATGTTAGCTCTGGGCCAGTCTGCCTCACAAAAAAACAAAAAAGTTACTTCTGACCAGAGGTCAGCAAAATTGAATTTGTCAACAGGTATCTAGTTGTCCATTTCATTTCATTCTGCTCTGTTCACTTGGTTCTGGGTTGCCATCTCATATTAACAGCTAGACAAAATTTTGATAAGTATAGTTTCCATATTAGAGTTCTCCAGAGAAGCAGAACCAATAGGGGAGATATATAGATAAAGAGATTTATTATAAGGAATTGACTCATAGAATTATGGAGGCTGAGAAGTTCCAAGATCTGCAGTCAGTGAGCTAGAGACTCAGGAGAGCTGGTGTGTTATTCCAGTCCAAGTCTGAAGGCCTGAGAACCAGGAGAGCGAATGGTATAAGTTCCACTCTGAAAGCCCACAGGCTCAAGACCCAAGAAGTGTCCGATTCAGTCTGAATCCAAAGGCCAGAAAAGAGCAATATAGCCAACTAAAGCAGTCAGGCAGGAGGAATTCCCTCTTAGCCTTTTTGTTCTATTCAGGTCTTCCATTGATTGGATGAGGTCCACCCACTTTAGGGGCAGCAATCTGCTTTACTCAGTCTCCTGATTCAAATGTTAATCTCATCCAGAAACACCCTCATGGACACACCCAGAATAATACAGTCCTGGTTGTTGCTTAAGATGAGGATATATTTCTGAGAAATGAGTGGGTAGGCGATTTCATCATTCTGTGAATGTCGTCAAGTGTACTTACGCAAACCTAAATGGTATAGCCTGCTATGTGCCTAGGCTGTATGGTACTAATCTTATGGGACCACCGTGGGATATGCGGTTTGTCCTTGACAGAAATGTCATTATGTGGTGCATGTCTATATTTGGCCAAATGTCTGGACACCTGTGGCGCAGCTGACATAAAATTAACCATCACAGCTTTTTGGCCCAGCTTGCATTATCTAGAGGCCTTTACCTAGCTCTGCTTAGCCGTTTGAGACTCAACAGATAGAGTATAGTCTATGGAAAATAGTTCTCAATATTTGCTGCTACCAGGGCTTTTTTCACTTTGCCTCTACAGACTGTTCCTTCCCCATGCAGTACTGGGTAGTTTTCTGGGAGTGCCTCCAGGCTAGCTATAGAAATAATGATAGCTATTTTTTTATAGTGCTTACTATGAACCAGCAACGTTCTAAGTGCTTTTACATAGATTAACTCATTTTAGCCTCACAACATTCCTATGAGGTGTATACTATTACGATCTTCATTTTGTAGAATAGGGAAACTGAGGTATGGAGAAGTTAACTTTTCCAAGATCAAAGAGAACAGTATGAAAGAAGAGGTCACACACTAGCCTCAAAAAGGAGAGACCTACACAGAGTGATTGTTAGGCCAGTCGTCTTGTCTTTCTTAAATAGGTAGATAGGGAAGGACAATGATAGATTTCCTCCGATTCCAACTCCTTAACACTGACAAGAGATTTTCACATATTGAGGTATATGGGGTAACTATTCGGGTTCAAAAAGGATTCAGCTCGAACTAAAAAGCCTGACTTATGGCCTATCAAACATACCTTGTACATCTGCTTAACCATTAAAGAATGCACTCTCTTTTTTTTGTAAAGTCTTTATTTTTAAATTTTTTTTGGTGAGGAAGATTGTCCCTGAGCTAACATACGTGCCAATCTTCCTCTCTTTTTTTTTTGTATGTGGGTTGCTGCCACAGCATGGTTTGATGAGTGGTCTAGGTCTCTGCCTGGGATCTGAACCCAGGAACCCTGGGCCACCAAAGCAGAGTGCGTGAACTTAACCACTATGCCACAGAGCTGGCCCCAGAATGTACTGTTAAGAATTCATACTTCCCCTCCTAAGCCCTAATGGTAACACCCTATGGATAAGGCCTGGATTAGTCCCTTTCCCGACATCAGGGTCATGTTGACCTGCTAATTTGCAGTCAAATACCTCTTTCAAATTTTGATGAAAATGTATCCTGGGTGTGTTTAATGTATGTTGTTTCAAAAAGATATAAGACTGTACTGAAAACCATGCTTCTCTGGAACACTTTCTAAGCCCTCCCCAGGGTTATAATCCTCACTCTGGCTCAAGTAAAACTCACCCTATTTCTCTCATCTATAGAATGGTTATTGGTTATTTTGCTTCGACAATGCTTAGTATTTTTGTATTACAATTCCATTGGCTCGATAGTTGGTAGAATATTTCCCAAGATATTAGCATAGATCATCAGTCCTAGATTTTGGTGAGTGTGAACTTTTGTCTTTTTCTCTGTTCTTCATAGGTGTTTTAGGGTAAGCTAAGAAAAGCCAGGCTTAAGGCTTGTTAGCCAGAAATAATTTTGTATTCCACTTTTCAGGTAAGTCTGATAAATAATGCACTGCTCAAACAGAAACTAGTTCTCTGGTCTGTTCTTGCCAAACTCAAGACTAGGTGTTTTTAAACAGACTTCTTAATGGATTTTGCTGTTTTGTATTTAGTTTAGCAACAGAAATGCTTAAAAGAGAACATTTCTTTGATTTCTGAATAGCTTGTTTTTCTTCAAACATTTTTTTCTATTCATAATCTATTTTAAAGATCCAGAAAGATGAATTTAAGAACACAGATCAGATGAAAAAAAGAAATCCCAAATAATGTCTTTAAATGTATTCTATGCAAAAAGTTGTCATGTGAAGAAACAGTTTGATCACCCTGGAGGCTGTTCATTGAAGGAAACAGTGACTAGTGGGGGAAAGTGTTCTCTACACCACCCCCCTCCCCTACCCTCAGCCCTAGTCCCAATCTATTCAAATTTAGAAGACAAATCTGAAAGCCAGCTGAAGAGCGAAGAAGTGTTCGAGTGTGCTATCAAAGAAGCAAAATCTCTAAGATAAGGGATTGGGTCTCAGTATTTGCATGTTGAAGAAGCTCCACTTTAGGGAGATATCCCTAGTTAATACAACATTGCTATGTAAGGAGTAACTGAGTTGAGAGCTGAAAGAAAAGAGGCTTTGGTACACAGTAGTTTTTGAATTTAAGGTTTCTGAGCTAAAGCCATTCTGATGACAGGATTCAGAGTATAGCTATGCAAGTGGAGTGGAGATTAAAGTGATGATTCGAATTGCAAATTGAAGGGCAAAGTTGTAGGTGAGACATACTGTGGAAAGGCCACTTTTGTTGTCAAAGTCAGTAGACAAGGAGTGACTGTTAAGTCTGGGTGAGCAAGGAGAAGTAGATGGTATTACACCAAGAAGGCATGCATATCAGAGTGGGTTTTTACAGGAGGATGGAAGAGTAGTGATCTGGAAGTAAGTAACATTAGAGGTGGAGAGGATTCTTGACCCTCCTAACCCAAAGGAGCAGGGAGTTCTACAAAGAAACCAGAGAACAAAAACATCAATTCTTGGCTTTTGATATTCCAGAGGCTATGGTTTAGGTGTGAATCAGAAAGATTTGGAAGATTATATAATACATGATTATCCCTGTACCATCCTCAGCCCACTCCCACCCCCACCTTTTCAGCCTATGGGAGAGAAGAACTAAGAACTCTGGCTGAGGAAGACGCAAGGAAGCCACCAAAGCAGAGAATAGACACTGGTGAGTGTCTAAGAGGAGACCAGCCCCTTGCTCCCCACAACCTGCCCCAGGCTGAGCACAAAAGTGGGAGTACGAGATTTGCCGTACCACATGACTTACTGACATACAAGAATTCTTTTGTATTGTGCTTCTCTTTTCAATTAAACTGTAGGGAGTTTGAAAGCAGTGAACATATTTAGCATCTCTTACACATCACTATAAACACAATAAATCCTCAATTACTGTTAATTGAACTGATTCTTCCAAATACTTCAAATTATCTTTTGCCTACAAATCTGGGTTCTTTTGGACATTAAACACACTATCAGTCTCATGTGCTACTACATTTATGTTCCAAACAGTTCAATTCTAAACTGTTCCCATGCTTAAAACCTCCCCCAGTACCGAGATTCTCCTAACTTCCAGAATCTCCCTTCTCTCTTTCAAAACCCACTTTCTAATTGAAGACTTTCCTTAGCTCCAGAATCTGTCTTGCGAACCACTCTACGGTTTATTTTATACAAACTAAGTATAGCAACCATAGGTCCCAAATTTTTGCTGTATCTAAAATTTTTCCCATAAATTATCAGTTTTCCAAAAATATGTTGGTAAGCAGCAACCATATGAAACAAGCATTAACCAAATGTGCTTTTTATGTTTTTTTCTTGGTGAGGAAGATCAGCCCTGAGCTAACATCCATGCTAATCCTCCTCTTTTTGCTGAGGAAGACCTGCTCTGAGCCAACATCTATTGCCAATCCTCCTCCTTTTTTTCCCCCAAAGCCCCAGTAGATAGTTGTATGTCATAGTTGCACAGCCTTCCAGTTGCTGTATGTGGGACGCAGCCTCAGCATGGCCAGAGAAGTGGTGCCTCCGTGCGACCGGGTCAAACCCCTGCCGCCAGTAGCAGAGCGCATGCACTTGACCGCTAAGCCACGGGGCCAGCCCTATGTTTTTTAATTTAATCTTTGAAAGAGTTTCCATCCACAGGCATATGACCAACACATATTTAGTGACCACTGCTAAGGGTCACTCTTCTCAGCACTAAAGATGAAACAGTAAACAGAATAAAGGAATTCTTCACCAGACAGACTACTTGTGCTAATATCTGTCAGAAAACATGGTCCTATGCTCACACTTCTCAAATTGATTCAGGGTATGGAAAACATACCAAAGAAATAAGAGGTAAAGGAAGCTCATCTTTCTACTCAAAGATAGATGGGAGTCAAGGATGATACTAAAGCACAGACATATCAGGAGTGGAATGCAAAATTTACTATTACAAATATAAACAGTAAAAAAAAAAAAAAAACAAATATAAACAGTAAATTTCAAGTTATAGTGGGCAGCTCTGAGCTATGTCCGTGGACAGTCCCCAGATTTGCCTGAACTCAAAAACAGAACAATCTGGACTGGAAACTCAGACTCAGAGTTCAGGCAGTGCCTTCCTAAAGTCTGTTCCTCCTCATAGCTCCTAACCCGAGCCGCCAGTGCGAGGCAAGCTGAAGCAAAGAAAGGCACGGCCATTCTTGGATTCAGTGTTTCCCTAACAACTGCTAAGAGTCAAGTGAACAGTGGGGCATGGGTCAGTGTTTAAGAAAGCTACAAACGCCAGCAGTTCTCGACCCCCTTACACTCCGCCATGCAGCCCATGCACGTCACCCCTCGCCATCCTGAGCAAGGCTTGCCCCCTCCACCAGTTTGGAAAAAGGAATAGACAGCAGCCTTCGGGACTTGCGAGGCGCTGTTCTCGAGGACCTGCTCCTGGGCTAGAAAGCCCTCCTCCCGTTTTCGCGGCACTCGGAGGCCCCGCCGGTCTGCCGCCCCTACCCGCCCGGATGGCCCTCCCCTGACCCCCGGGCGACGCCCCGTGACGTCATCGCGAGGCGCCGGGAGCCGGCGACTGTGACTCCGTTCGCCATGGTGATGGCTCGTGACAATGCTTTCTCCTTCCCGGCCTCTGGGTGTTCCTTCAGGTTCTTGTGTTCTAAGCCGTGTGAGGGGAAGGGCGTGGGAAGTGTCTGATCTGACACTATGGAGGGAGGAAGGGGCGACACCTTCGAGGGTGTAAGCACAGAGCGCCTTAAACAGCAGTTACTGCAAGAAATCCACAGGAAGTGAGTTGGCGGGCGGCGCGCGGGCTGCCGCGCCTGGTGTGGGGTCCGCGTCCGCGCCGCCCGAGGGCCGCGCCAGTGAGCGCCTGCCGTGCAGGGCTGAAGCCGCCGAGTGATGCGACGCCGGCTGTGTGGTTAATACCCGGCAGATCTGGCGACGTCTAAAAACAGTGTTTTATAGGAAAGATTGATTCATTTGCCTCTGATTAATCAGGCATTTGGTATTATAGACAGGATTTGAGGTAGGGTGTTCTGCCTTTAGGAGCAGATCAAGTGGAGTTTATTGTGTGCATATACATAATGCTAAAATATGTGTTTGGTCTTGATGTACCATTAAATTTAGGTTTTCTATTTCAAATTCCAAAGGTTTCGTTTAAATATGCTTCTCTTTCATCCCTTTAGAAGAACTTAACAAATGGTGACGTTTTGTAAAAATGATGTCCTGCCTATATGCTTTTTAGAATAGTATTAGTGCTTTGTATTAAATCTTTGAAATATTTTAAGATACATAACATTTTAGTACAATATGTTTTAAGATAACATTTTTTTAAGATACCGCAGCCCCACCTGCAGGCCCCCTGAGAATTAGACTCTGCTGTGTGTCCCTATAGCTTCCTGTGCTTTCCTCTGTTGTAGCTCCAATCACACTATTTTAATTGCTTGGTTATTTCTTGGTCTTGTAGTAAACTATAATCATTCAGAGGACAGGTTCTGTATTCCCTGAGGCAGGAGAGGATAAGAGCCAAGTACTTGATAAAGAAATCCTGCATTAAGTCACATCCCAGCTCTTATCACAGAGTAACTACCTGATCTTGGGCAAGTTAATGAACCTCTTTAAGCCTCAGTTTTCTCCACTCCAAGATTGGTGTACAAATCATTTTCTCATACCCTGTGTGGTTGTGGCCAGGATTGGGTCAAATGTGTATAAAGCACATTGGCCTGTAGTAATTCAGTGGAAGTTAGCTGCTGCTACTGCTGTTATTCTATTCACTTATTCATTGTAGTATCTTCAGCACTTAGCACAACGCCTTGAACATAATAGGCATTCAAAAATATGTATTGAATAAATGATTCTGTCATCCTCATATTTTGATAATTAATGTGCTATTTTCTGATATTCTAAGCAGATAATCTCTGGAATGCTATTGGGGGTGGGTATTTTTTTAAGTTAGCGTTTCTTTTTTCTTCTTTCTTTCAAGGCTGTCAGTTGTTACCTGTTGCCCTGGCTATTCCTGTCTATAATAATTTACGGCTCATTTGCTGGGCTTTGAGAAACAAAGACAACCAGATTCTTGGGATCATATTTAAAGTTAAAAGTAAAGGGTTTCTAGTGGTTGCCTGGGGAGGTTTGAGCTTTAGTGCATATTAACGTCCTTCTGGAACTGGGTAATCGGAAGCCGTTATTTGTCTAATTCCTGATTCTCAACCATGCCTTCAATAAGTGATGTTTCATAAATTGTTCTTGAAGTAGAGGTGGATTAGTATGTATTATTTTTCTCATCTTATTTTTTAGTTGAATCATAATTAACAGATTATTTTTAAAAATAGGGATCTAGTGCAACTCTCAGTACTTGAAATAAGACACAAGATAGCGGAACTGGAAGCCAAACTCAATACTGACGATGAAGGTATATAAGTAAATATTTTTATATGTGACTCCTGTATAATTATTGTTCATTTTACCAAGATACCTATAGTGCATTAAACTACATGTATGGAATAATAGTACCAAGATTTCAGTATTACTTTTGGGCAGCATTAATAATAATTTATTATGGAGGCTTTTAAAACTGATATTTCAGAGTGTCATAGCTGTTACTCTCTAATTATTTACCTACTTATGAGTTCAAAATGTTCATTTATCGGGGCCAGCCCCGTGGCTTAGCAGTTAAGTGCGTGCGCTCCGCTACTGGCGGCCTGAGTTCAGATCCTGGGCGCGCACCGACCCACCGCCTCTCCGGCCGTGCTGAGGCGGCGTCCCAC